CTTTGCAATGGTGTACTCCGTTTTGTTGTTTGAGATAATTTTATTTCATGAAAAAAATAAATATTTCTACAAAACAAGTTAGAATAACAATGTAATTGTGGAATTTGTTAGATAAATAATATTTTTATTATTATGTAACACGAAATGTTGTCTTTTTAGGTTCATTTGACCATAGAATATATAAGTTTGACCATTTTGAAATGCAATAATTCAAAACTTGTTTTTGTAGAAATATTTCGCTTCGTGTCACTTGCACAAATATTTTTCGCAATAATTCAAAATATTTTAATAATTCAACAAGGCGCGAAAGTGCAAATCACGACACGAGCTTCGCCGTGTGTGCCACCGCTATTTAAGAAGGCGCGCCGACGCCAGAGATCCTCGCTCTACGACCTTCCACTATAACTTCCGATGCCTTTCTAGACCACGAGTAAGCCACTCACTATTGCTCAGCCGCTCCTCAATTCAATCTAGCTATCCAAGGAAACTTCATGCGGTCATACTCATGCCATGCGCAAGCTTAATACTTGACGATATGACCAAATACGGTCAAATGGTCGTCCGTTGATAATAGTAGCCATCAGGAAAGGAAAAATTTTTACACGAAAATATCATCTTGTATCGGATTTGGGTACAAGATAAATATAATACTACTACTACCACTAGCTACTTAATTTCACCACAAAAACCTACACTAGGAGCACACATATCTTTGATCGTGTCATATGTTGACGAGTTAACCGCAGAGGGAAGGTTAATTCAAAAATATCTAGCGATCGTGGCGGTCCGATTGACCGTCCAACTCCCTGTTTTATATATCGACTACGTTGGTGTTGTACATATACAAATATACAAAGTATATAAAATACTTGCATACGTCAGCTTAATTGCATAACTTGTTTTGTAGAAATATTTATTTTTTCATGAAATAAAATTATCTCAAACAACAAAACGGAGTACACCATTGCAAAGAGCTCGTCGAGACGATCAAAATTGATATATTATTTGCTATATTTGGAGCTCCGAATAAAAAGATATCAATTTTTCAAATTAAAAATGAGTGCTGACGTCATCGCTGACGTCAGCACTGTCAAGATAGGATTTGCCAAACAAAACGCTTTGAAACCGGCCAGGGTCCTAAAGTGAACTTTTTTTAGAGTTGGAGGGCCAATGTTATCCGGTTTTGAAGTTGGAGGTTGAAATCCATGCTTATACGATAGTTGGAGGTCCTAAAGTGAACTTTACCCCCCAGATTATGAAGCCTTTCCTTTCTCTTGGCCGCAGATGCCAACACTTCATTAGTGCAGCAGCGAGTTTAGCTGCCAGGTATTTATAACGTATTAACGTCGGGTTTGAAAAAGGAATCATATATGTGTAGGCTTGTCTTCAAGGTTACCTTAATAATCTTATGTACATGGTAGTATAAGTAATATGTATTGTAGTAGTAAAAATTAACGGTAACGTTACACATCGAAAACAAAAATAAAAAAAAGCTCCATCAATTTTTTCTCGGAGACAGTAACCTGTAACCCTCACATTACTGTAGAGAACGCATTACTCAAATTTCTTTTTGTTGAGGGGAATTTCTCTGAAAAAAAAGTGAGAGGAATGGTCGAGCAGCCAATGTAGATTTTACAGGTCCATTGAGCACACTGAAAACCATTAAAAAATGCTTAGACATGACATGCAGTGGAACAAGGCGACCAAGCATTCTCTTGCTACCTGGTGTGGGTTACTGAGTTATCCATGTCCGTCCGGCACCGTCGTTGCAAGCTTGCACGTAACGTTGCAAGTGCAGTAAGGGTATCTCCTCCTTGGTCCCTTCAGATATTCAGGTATTGTGGATGCATTTCTGGCGTTTAGTGTTTCTGCAGAGAAGTCTTCAGTTACTAGTAGTCTCCCAAGGACAAATGCAGAGTTTGTTTTCCCTTTTTTATCGCTTTATGCTTGACAAATCATATGCAATTATAAATTTAGAAATTCTACGTGGCTTAACCGTAACGTGAGAATCACCCTTTGCACGTAAGCGTTCACTCCTAGGCTCCTAGAGTCCTAAAGCAATATGAATACAGATGCATCAGAATTCAGATGCATAACCCTTTACGCGTAATGCACGTAACTGACAATTGTTTCTGTCGGAACCAGCGGCTGCATCACCCTCCAGCAATATTTGTGTGAAACTGTAATATTTTTTTTATATAAATCAACGAGTTCCAAAAATGCCCTAAGTAACTAAGCCAGTAGATTAATAAAATATGAGTGATTCATAAAAGCTTTACGAGAAGCAAAGATTTTTTTTTCTCTTGTAAATATCTTGGAGCAAACAGCACCAACTAACCATCATTATTCCTGAGAAGAGACGTGTGCATGATAAGGGAGCATATCCATTGTTGACGACGACCTGACTGAGATCCAGCCGACTGGCTGTAAAAAGTCTACCAGACCACAATAAACAAACTAATCTCACTCTTATTTACCATTATTAACACCCTAGGCATGATCCCCAAGCTAACAGAAAGCACCTCCTTGCCGCCATAATCTACCTTATCCTTCCTAATCCGCTAGGGTTAACTCTTTTTCTTGGCTTGAGATAAGATGCTTGTCTGTCTCAGCTAGAAAGGCGTTGTTTCCACATGCTCCCCCCATCAGGATATCATGGATTTATCCAAATAACTGACTGAGGTCCATTCCTTCCTGTCAACAACGAAGAGACAGAATTTATAAGTAATTAGATAGCAAAAGAAATATCGATATGGTAATCTATCAAGAAAGATCACATGGAGTAAGGGTAACTATCACTCGCTCCATGGCCCCGAGTTGACAAAATTTATCTGACTAAACAAGACGCTTATCTAACCATTTGAATAGCTCTTCCTTTTTCTCCTATATATATCCACATAAGCTGCGTCCCTTTGCCTTCCAAACTTTGAACAGAGCTTCATATGAAATGGCAGAGCCTTACAACTTAGCATCTCATGCAGTACCCTTGTGTCACAAGGAGATATGCAATAAACCAGGTGATGATCACTCCGAGTCGGCTTCCTTCTCAGGCGCGTCCAGTGGGTCCTTGTGCTCATCAGCTTCAAATGTGTCTGATGATGCAACTTCTTCCCCACTCGGTCATCCCTCTCAGCCATCCTCAGCATCTTCGAGCACGTTGCATCTGGATGCCGAGGGTCCCCTGTATGAGTTATCCTCACTGCTAGATGAGCTTCCAATCAGGTGCATATATTGTCTTCCACTACACAACTGTAACTAATCTAGAGAAAACAACACCATGCTTGTTTATAGTCCAGTTTCCTTAAAAAAAAACATAATGGAAGTTTGTCCAATTTCTACAAATAAATCACAATGTGTCACCATGCTTCACAAAATAGTTTTGTAACTTTTACATTCCTGATAACGGTAGAGATAGATATAGCCTCAAAATTACAAATGCTCAAATAAATTTGCAATTTCTTTGCACTATTATCTTGTGTTATACTGGCAAATCTTCTATTACTTGTTATAAAAAGCTTGCAAATTCACTTTCAGTTTAACGAAAGTTGATACTGCTCTGTGCTAACTAGTAGAGGTTCCCCTTTGCACAAGACCTATGATAAGTATGCAACAGAGTTCAACTTCACATGTATATTTGCTGAAAGGAAAAAAAATGAGTGGATATAAACACAATGCCATGATTATAAAAACACAAATAGTTAACATTACTTTCATAAAATTTACTGCATATGCAAAGCATTCAAATTCATTTTCAAGTAATACAATTTCCACAGGAAAGGGCTGTCCAATTACTACCAAGGGAAGGCCCAATCATTCACATCTATATCTGATGCTACAAGTGTTCAAGACCTTGCGAAGAAAATTTCATATAGTAAGAGGATGAGAGCATGTAAAAGCTATTCAGTAGGATTAGACATGAACCAACGGTCAATCATCATACCAAGGCCAGGCAACAAGGTGATAGCAAAGAAGACCTCAAATGGTTCATTTGCTATAGTGCCAAGAACTAGCAACACCAGCCATTTGAACATCAGCACTAAATCATATGCACACCAGAGCAAGAGAGATGCACTCATGCATATTGATCTGCAACGAAGGGACAACTAGGGTGACAAGTCTCCACTTCCCATTGACCAGCTGTGCTTCGTGTGTGCTTTATACATGAAAAATCTGAACTATGTTTCCTTCTGCGATCAACCTGATTTCTTTTGTGCTTTATTTCACGATCCATATGAAGGTTGATCAATCAAATGGATGTAATGAGAAAGGGTGAGTCATAACAAAGCTCAACATGGCAGAAAATACAGTTATCTTTATCACAATGCCTCCATCGAATTCCTACTCATCAATTATACTCAGCATTCTTTCCATATAAACAAATATCAGCAAAGTGGATGAACCATTAACACATTTTCTTAGCAGCGTTTATCAACACTACACAAAACAAACTATAAAAAAATTTACGTAGAGTTAAAATGGTGTTGCAGATGACTTTGGACAGAAGCAAAGGCCACAAGATAAGCTCCAGTTGCCCAAGGCTGTGGCCCATTCAATTCTCTTTCCATGTACTCCCTCCGTCCAGAAAAAAAACACAATTCTAGCAGTGAACCTGGACACGACGTGTGTCCAGATTCAGAGCTAGAATTGCTTTTTTTTTGACAGAGGGAGTATCTCAAACAAAATGATCTGTTCAGAAGACAAGCAAGAAATTTATGTTATCTAAACTTTATTATAAGGCAAGTTTCCACTGACGTTACATACTTTGAATTTTAAGCATGACCTGAAGGAAATCTCTAAATTTCCATTCACCACTCCTTCCTTTTCCAAAATATAAAAATGCAAGAATTGCCAACTAAAAAGGATGGTGCTACGAACATACGATTTTTTTCAACCTTCAGAGCAAACATGTCCAAAGTGATAAGTTTGTTCCTTTGGCGCATGCATTACGTCTACCATTCCACTTTTTTTTCTTCGTAAGAACGATCCAGTAATGATTTGAATCATTTATTGCTCAGCCATCTGGTATAGTCTCCAACAGCATCAAGATCACACTGCAGGGAGGTAAACGACATTCATAAGAAAACTCTAATATCAGCACTTCCAGTTTTTAACAGAGCAACCCACAGATTGAGACAAGGCACAAAAATGAACACTAAATACAGTTCTTTAATGGGAATGAATTCTTACATCTTTTGTTATTCCAAGATGATCAAGTAGAATTCTTATACCACCACCCTTTGAAGCATTGAGGGGAACAATATCAATTGTATTTGGATGCATTTTGGTAACATGTGCTTTCCCTTTGGTCAGTTCTGAACAATGCTGCCATAGGACAGATGAATCCTCTTTGGCACTGTCAAAAAGAAGCAATTTCTGCATGTACAAGTAAATAGTGTAAATCCAATTGAAATCAAACTTGTCTAAATCTATTTATCTGATTGATTGAAGATGTACGGAGTGCTGCTCAACAGTATTTGTTATTCCTACAATTTTTTGTTAAAGAGATTTGCTAAAGACATTTTATGAGCTACCTTGACATTTTATTAATCATACTACATTTCTTACCGCCTGGTGCAAGCGGTAGAGTTTTACCGCCTGTGACCGGAAGGTCCCGGGTTCGAGTCGCGGTCTCCTCGCATTGCACAGGCGAGGGTAAGGCTTGCCACTGACACCCTTCCCCAGACCCCGCACAGAGCGGGAGCTCTCTGCACTGGGTACGCCATTTTTTTTATACTACATTTCTTCTTTCATCTCTGTTTACCTACAGAACCTCAACAATCTTACCTTATCATCTAAAAAGATAATATAGGAACAGAACCTAGCTCAGTTGCTCACCCAGACCACCCAAGCTCGTGTCCTCATCAAGGCAAATTCAGGTGCCTATTTCTTCTTAACTAATATAAGTCACCAAGTTCCTCCTAGGTTGCTCAATGTTTTTTTATGTACAGAAATAATAAGGATCGTTACAAGCTGATACTCAGGATGATAATTTGAACCGACAACCTAAGAACAGGTTGACAAGCCTATCCTACTAAACTACTAATAGTGCTGCTTCAAGATTTGTGTTGGTAAGCAGGGCGATCTTCCTGTTCCTGCTACCTGCTAGTGCATTGGATGATCTATATAAATAGACCTACAGTTTGGAGCATTAAGAGTGAGGATGCTATGAGCTTATTATCTCATCAAAGGCTATAGATTTACTACTTCAAAGCTTATTTTTTTTAATATCATACTTCTGTGACAACTTAAAAAAAGTTCAACTAATATGCACCAGATACTAACAATATTGTCCAAAATAATCAAAAAAGAAAAGCCTACCAGCCTTATAAATACAATACATCATTATATGCTTGCCAACATTAAAGTAAGAGTACAAGACAAACCTGAATAGACGAACATTCCAAAAGGTCCTCAATTGAATGCATCACTTTTACCTGATAATATGAAATTCAAAATTGCATCAACTGCCTAAAGCCTATCATAGTTAGAACATAAGTCTGTACAGCAAATATCTACAGGGCATACCTTGTTTTCATTATGTACAGTGTGCAACAAGTCAACAAATGGGTGTCTAAACAAGGTTAGACATTGTTCCTCACAGTACGCGACAAGAGGAATTTTATGCTTCAAGGAGTACAGAAATGCCTGCAAAACTTGCAAGTAACATAAATGATGATTTTTCCATGCCTAGAGAGTTTTTTTAACAAAAAATGAATAAAAGAGAAACATAATTGTTAACAGAGGCGAAGGAAACATCGGTATGAAAAAAAGAGCTCATGCTCAAGGGGAGCGCATTACATGCCTATACCATCCAAAACCAATAACAAATAACACCCCAATTAATAAAAAAATGGCCAATACCTCCAAATAAAGGAATAGTGGGTGCAGAATTAAAACTTCAACAGAAAAAAAAAACACATCTAACAAAAGAATATATGATAAAATTACAGAATAAGTATAGGAATAATTCAATGACATTATGTAATTACCTCCTTGCAGATATCTAAATCCAGTTCTGCTCTATAAACTTCTTCGCCATCCCTTCCATAGACAAGTGAACCCTGAACCAAATGTAGCAGAAATATAACTATTCGGGCACCAAGTATCATTTGAGAAAAGGGAAGATTCAAAGGCACCAGTGACCAGTATATGTTCAGATAAACAAAGGAAAAAATGAGGGGGAGAGCTCAAAAGTCAGTACCACTTCCTTCGACATGATCCTTGCATGATGGCATGAGAAAACATCTTAATTTAACATATTTTCATTTGTATGCGGCTGATGGAATATATATTACATAATTGCAGAAACAACTTACATGGACAGGGCAGCAATTAAAGAAGCTTAACCTTGCCCTGAATAGTTCAAAATTTAAGTATTTAACCATGTCATATTCGTGCAACAAGGCAACATTTCATTCCAACCCATGTAACTTTACATGTTTTTTGATAAGCCATTTATTTCCTAGGAGAAAAATGAATATCAAGCAAAGAGTGTTTGGTCAAAGTTAATGACAAGGAACTCAATTTGGTTATGCTAAACTAGTGAACCACACATACATATATAAAGGACTTCTGAAATTATATGAAATAAAAATATAAAATATGCTTTGGGCAAATGCATAATATTGGATGGCACACAAGTACACAGTTTTGATAAATAATCTCTACAAATCTTGAATTCTTATTCAAATAAATTGGATATAATGTACCTGCAAAAATACACCAGGTGAAGTCTCTGAAATAAAATCACCTTTTTCATGGAAATCAAGAAGCTTGAAGGTTCTAATGGTGGAAGCCCGACTCTAGATAAAGAACAAAATATCAACAACACATAATAAAAAAAGTAATATGAAGTGATAAGATTCTTGAGGTTGTTGACACGCTTTAATTGTTCGTTGATCACATGATATTGTATTACTTATTATTGGAGTTCAGTAAAAAAAGTAATTATTGTATAATAGAATTTTTCTTTGGCAGGTTTACAGAGTTACTTAACATAAAGTATAAGTTCTAAAAGTATCTGTTTCATAGATTCTCTCAATCAATAAAAGATATGTAACTAGCCTATATACAATCAAAGAGAATTAGGAACAATTGACATAATTAAATTCACTTAATAAAGATCTAAACATCCTCTTATCAGCTTTCATGAGAATTTTCCCAAATGTTCCACATACTTGTCTGTCTTGGGAAAGCTGGCACGTGATTGGTAAATGGTAATTTTAAAATCATTCTAAGACTAGCCTCCACTTCAGATCAGTGCCATTAGCATTGTGTGAACAAATACCATGAGTACATAGTACCCACCTTTTCAGTAACCATGATAATATTTACTCCTGTTGCAATTGCCTCTCTCAAAGATCCTATTGATTCTTCATGCAGGCCTCCTTCACAATCCACAATAGTACCTTACCAATTTATTCGGAAGAAATTATACACTAGAACTTGGCAAGATTCAATTAAAAGCCAATATATTTCTAGGTGCTCAATCAACTCACCATCTATATCACAAATGATATGGCTTAGTTTGGGTTGATGTTTCTTTTGTAGGATCACTTTCTCTATATTGCTATCAGCCTCTGTATACAGTGAGTGAATCCATAGGTAAGTGACGAGACGTAGATTGGCATTCATTTTCTTTTCTGTAATGGTTAAAACATGCAGAAGAAACTTACCAATAGAATTTTGTAAATGTTCCATACCAGTAGCAATATCATAGGCACTCTTAATTAATCCTTTTCCTCTCCATTCAAGAGTATTTAACATATGTTCTTCTTCCTTCTCCATCTCTTCTTCAGCCACTTTGCTGAGTTCATGGTCAAAGCCCAATAAATGCAATAGCCCATGCACCTATTGAAGTTTAAGTCAGTTAGCAAAAAAAGTGTGCAAGCTCTTTGGCTGGCATATGCAGGATGCTTCACAAAATACAGCAGTAATGGCAAAGAAGTATGCATAGAGGCATTCAGCTGTTGATACACAATGGCTGATGGAAATACGCAGTTGAGCACTAGTGCATCGTGCAACTTGCCATGACCTGTAGTCTCTATTTTTGCAGGCAGCTTTTAAATTTCAGATACTGCTCCACTAAAATAGTGCCATAAGCTTTTTATGCCTTTGATACAATTTTTCTTAATGTTGTATTTTCCTATTGTGAAGGTTCAAAAGTGCAGTGTGAACTGAACATCACATTTGCCTTTGGAGGTACAAATTGCAGCAAAGCTGAACATGACTATATTGATAAATCTGACAACAACGACACAACTATTGATCCATTGATGCAACTGGAGAAGTTGGAGTTAAACATTATTAGGAAATAAAGAGAGGAAAACCAACCAACCATGAGAATTTTTATCTCATCAAGAAGTGTGTGACCCCTTTCTTCTGCTTGCCGTCGAGCTGTTTCAACAGAAATTACTATATCACCCAACTGCAGCTGTCGAAGCAAAACAAAACATATAACGAAATGGGTCAAAAGAAGCATCCAAAATAAAAAGACTCATTTGGTAGGATGCCATACAATGGGAATATCAAGCTCTGGGATATGCTGAGACATTGACAGAACATCGGTAGCATGATCCTCATCCCTCCATTCCTTGTTGAGCTTCCTGATGAAACCATCATCACAAAGCAGCAGAGAGACCTCAATGCTAGCATACTTGTTCACATTGCATATAGAAGGATCTCTGGTGATGTAATCTGAGCCTTCAAGGTCGTTGAGGGCCAGCTTCGCTGCCTTCCCAACATCTGTCCGAAGAGTTTCTGCAATGCTCTGCACAGCAATTTGCAGTGAGATGGACACATTTATAATGCCAATTTAATTTAATATTACGTACAAATGCAAAGGGAAATACCACAAAGTGGCTTCAAATGCATACTCAATTTATTTTGAGAAAACCCTGCCTCATCAGTTCAAAACTGCAAAACTAGGCCCCCAAAGCTATTACCAGGATTTCAGGATCGTCGGGGAGGGCCTCCTCTATGCCAATTTGCACGCTGAGCTCGCCAGGGCCCTTCCGCGGCCTCCTCGCTCTCTTCCGCCTCAGCAACATCGGCGGCCGCGACGAGCGCCTTCGCCTCCCGAAGGTCGACGAGGCGTATTGCCGCGACGCGGCTACAATGATGGGAAGCAGGGTACGACCGTGGGGAGGAGGAGCAGGCGGCAGCGACCGGAGAGGGAGGAGCAGCCGCGGAGTGGAGCGGACGCTGGAGGTGGTAGAAGGGAGGATTTGGTGAGATGCGAGCGCGCGAGAGAGGAGCTGATGGAGGCGCACCATCGAGAGCAGCAGCAGATTGGCGTGGTGCGCGCGAGGCGTCTAGAAGGTTCTAGAAATTTTGGCCCGAGGGTGGCTGGCGAGGGAGGAGCTCGACGACGACGGGGCCTGGGGGAAGCTGCGAGGAAAAATGGAAGATAGGGTTTAACCGTTGAACCCCAGCTAAGAAGGGCTAACTTGATAAGATTCACTGACATGTGGACCCAGACCTTGGCGAAATCCACTCGGTCCCATATGTCAGTGATATCTGTAAAAGCTGTGTGAGAGGGTCCAGTTCACAGTTCAGGCTCCCCCAAACGCCAATCCACGCCGGCCAAAATGCCCCGCCGCCTGGCTACGACCTACGCCGGCCGCATCGCGGCGGCGACGCCGTCCCCCTCGGGACCCTCCCTCACCGTCACCGTCTTGCCGACGCCGCCCCCCACCCCGCTTGACACGCGCGGCTACTCGCTACCGCGCCGCCACCTCATCTGCGCCGTCGCCCGAATCCTCCGCTCCCCGGCGTCCCCCACCCCGCTGCTCGACCTCAATGACTACCTCCGGTCCCACCGCCTCACTCTCACCTCCGCCGAGGCTTCCGAGGTCATGAAGGCGCTCGCCCCCGACACCTCCCTCGCGCTCGGCTTCTTCCGCTTCGCCGCCACCTCCCTCCCCGGCTTCCGGCACGATGCCTTCTCCTACAATCGCATCCTGGTCCTCCTCTTCCGCAACCGCGCCGATCCCGCCGAGGCCATGCGGCTCGTCGCGGAGATGGAGCGCGACGGCGTGCCCGGCAACATCTCCACCGTGAATTTGCTGGTTGGGATGGGCATGGAGGTGGGGATGTGCCTGGAGCTGGCGAAGAAATGGGGGCTGAGGCTGAACGGGTACACCTACAAGTGCCTTGTACAGGCGCATCTGAGGAGTCGGGAGGTGTGGAAGGGGTTCGAGATGTATGAGAAGATGCGGAGGAAGGGCTACAAGTTGGACATATTTACGTATAACATGCTGCTTGATGCGCTTGCCAAGGCTGGAATGGTATGATAATGATCACAAACCGCATATGTTTAGCGATGGTTTTTTGTCATGCTGTGCTAACTTTAGGAAGTAGGAATGGTTGTTTTAAAAATGTTGTTGGTATGTTTAATTGACCACTTGACCAGAGCATATTAGGAATCACGAGTATGAGAGATACCTTACTCAAATATTTCCTGGGGACAAAATTTGTGCAACTTAGATGGTACTTGCACAGTATGTAAAGATGTGCTTCTACTGTCTGTGGTCTATAGGTGGTTGGTACACTAGTTGATGTTGTTATATGAATGATTAACAGTTTATCTGATTGTGGATTCTAGCTACTCTTGTGCTGGGAGACACCATTTAATGTTCTACATGGGCACTTGCATGTCTGGAAGAATCCAAACTTGTACAAAAGCTTGTTTCTGCTGCAATTGTTTTCCACAAATTGTTGATTGTTAGTGTGTTGCCACTCGCTACATATAGATGTCCCTGATATGTTTGAGTTACTGGTGTGGGGGAATCTGTATACCCATGGAACTCTGAGACGCCCTATTTCATACCATTGCTGGTATACTCATCCTGTTCTGTATCCTTTGCCCTGCTCTACTATCATCGGGCACTGCAGTCCTTGTGTCACACTGCTCATGTAGCCGCATTAGCCCTCCCTGCTCTGGTGGAGGTGGCCTCACTTAGTGGCATATTGGGAATAATATAAAGAGGATGGGTGACTAGGAAAGTGAAAGGATGAGAAGTCAGTAAGAGGAGGGGGGATGTTGTTTTGATAAAAACAAAGATAGTTTCAAGTTAATCTGCTTGCTAGGTGTATCTGTTAGACATTGTAAGTTTCACACCCCTTGGTTGCCTGTGGTTAGGATTGGGACATGAGGAAGCAGACAAACTCTCTTTGAATAGAATTTCCCGTGGCCATTGGTGAATCGCCAGGACATGAGAAGATTTCACTAACAGGTCCATGCCGTGGAAGAACCGGAAGGGGATCATGATTTCAATCAATTTGTTTGGAACAGAATCACTTGCTAAAATTGTTTGGTTAGCTGTCTGGATTCAGATTCTAATGAGAGGAGAATGTGGTAGAATAGACTAAAATTGCCTTGGCATATGATGAGTTTTTTTTTAGTTACTACAGAAAAATAAAAGCATTTGTAATCACGAGATTGAATGTTACTAGTGTCAAATGCGGATCTTGTTATTGAGCTAATGGCTGAATGCTGCTGGTCGAAGAAGCCAAGGCGGCGGGGAGGCCATGGCTGGGGCCATGGGTGGACTCGGAGAAGCCGAGGTGGCGGTAGTGAGGTCGTCGGGTGCAGCCGGCAGTGGCAAGGTAGAGGGGCATTGCGAGGCCGATGAGGATGGGTCAGACGGTGCCTGGCGAGGTCAGGATGCGTGAGAAGGCTGCCATCCGGGTAAGGAGCGTGGGGAGAGGCGGGCGCTCCTGGTATGGCGCAGGCGGCGCGGTGGCACTACTGAATCCCGTCTGTCTGCCCCAGCCTAGTGAAGCCGAATGGATAAGGAGATGGTGGCACTTCTGTAATTTTTTCAGCAAAACAAAGCACAGGGGAAGGTGTTGGCTCCCTGAATTGGTGCGAAACCACCCGATCAGCGTTTTGGCCACCACGGAAGGAAATGCAGAACATTTCCGCTCCGATTCCAGTGGCAGTATTCCCGTTTGGAGCCGTTTCTTCCGATTCTGATGAGAAATGGAACTGAACGGCCCCTAAGTCCAAATAGTGGAATTTTAAAAATAGTCAAAATTTACAGCATATACCAATACTAATATCATGTTTTCTTAAAATAAATAGAAGTTTTTCTTTAATTATTACATTTAATGACATAAAATCACAAAGAAACATATAAATGATGAAGATATAAAGAAGACACATGGAGACAAATTTTCATTAAGTTTTTATATCAATTGAAAAGGATATCATCAATCATCCCATCATTCTTTATCATGGTCCAAATCACTATCTTATTATTTTGATTACCATTGGAATCATCCACAATGTCACTTGAACTATCCACATAGCGAATAGCAGCCTAACAACAGTAATAGCGGCTTGCAATAGCGGCCACTAAGTTCCAACACACTGTCTTTGGTCCACTACCTTGTAGCGGTAGAGGGCTGCTACCACTATAGTGGACACTGTTGCGGGTGCTACCAATGCTATTTAGTACTATGCTTACAGGTGAGCCATGGGCTAACTTGCTTTGACAGAGTCTAATAGTAAGGGAGGTGGAGGGGATGGTGTACCATGAGTCATCATTTTAGTCCTTTTACAGCAGTAAAAGTTTGTTTCTAGGAACCCTGAATTTTTGTTCCTTCCCAAGAAAAGTTTCAACCTAACTGCATATAATCCATTGACAAGTAGAAATTTGTTTCAAGCAGGTTGACCAAGTTTACCAAGTCTTTGAAGATATGAAACAAAACAACTGTGATCCAGATGCATACACATACACTATACTAATTAGAATGTCTGGAAAGGCTGGGAAGACCACTAAATTTGTCTCATTTTTGGAGGAAATGGTGTCCAAAGGATGTGTTCTTAATCTGATTGCTTATAATACTGTTATTGAGGCTCTTGGTAAGAACAAGATGGTTGACAAGGCGATTTTTATGCTTTCTAAAATGATTGAGAGTGACTGCCAGCCCAATCAATTCACATATAGCATTATGCTGGATGTTTTATCAACAGGGAGACAACTCCACAGGCTGAATGAGATTCTAGATATCTGTATTGGACATCTGAATAGGTCAGTTTATTCATATTTGGTCAAGGCACTCTGCAAATCTGGGCATGCAAGTGAGGCTCATAGTGTATTCTGTCGTATGTGGAGTTCCCATGAAAAAGGAGACCGGGATGCTTTTGTATCAATGCTTGAGGCACTATGCAATGCAGAAAAGACAGCAGAAGCTATTGATCTACTGCATATGATGCCTGAAAAGGGGATTACTACAGATGTTGGAATGTATAATATGATCTTTTCTGCTCTTGGGAAGCTGAAGCAGGTGTCTTTCATGAGCAGTCTTTATGATAAGATGAAAGCCAATGGGGTTGTTCCTGATGTTTTCACATACAATATTATGATTTCAAGTTTTGGTAGGGTTGGCTTAGTTGACAAGGCATCTGAACTTTTTGAGGAAATGGAGGATGGCAGTTGCAAGCCTGATGTCATCACCTACAATTCTATGATAAATTTCCTTGGAAAAAATGGAGATCTCGATGAAGCCCACATGCTTTTCAAAGATATGCAAGAGAAAGGATATGATCCTGATGTCTTCACTTACAGCATATTAATTGAGTGCTTTGGGAAATCCAATAAGGTTGATATGGCATGCAGCTTGTTTGATGAGATGATTGCACAGGGATGTGTTCCTAATATTGTAACCTATAACATTTTATTAGACTGTTTGGAGAGACGTGGGAAGACAACAGAAGCTCATAAATTTTATGAAACTCTGAAGCAACAGGGATTGACTCCTGACTCGATAACTTACTCAATACTTGAGAGATTGGAAAGTAGATCTCAACGAACAGTAAGAATACGTAAACCAAGTCGGAATACAGGTTGGGTTATAAGTCCAGTATGATAACCTACCCTGGTTCTTTCGGTTGCATACCTCCAGTGTAGTGGAGCTGAGGACAAACAGTCTGTATGCAAACTTGCAAATGTATTGCAGGTGAATAATGTCAACAAATGATTGCTCAATTACCGTGAAAACAATCTAGTAGTCCTGACTCATCAGAATGATAAGTATAAATAGTATTTCATGGCTGTCGATATCTCGGTTCTGAACAATTTGTGGACGATGGACATCTTGAGAAGAGGTAAAAACATCTCTACTTCGTCATCTTATTAGAAAACTGTTTTCAAGATGTGAGGATCTATCTTGTAAAGTTCAGAGTTAGTACCTAGATTCATAGTTATTAAAACCAGATCGGGCCAGCAGTTTAGCTGGGAAAAAATGGAACCAGAGATCCAGTTCATTCTCGCCTCAGTTTTGGTCTTTGGATCATTTTTATATGCATCTAAAAAACTAAGACTGGTGGGTCATAGATGGAAGGTTGTGTACTTGTGTGCACTGCGGAAGGGAATTATGAAGAAGACACGTGCCATTTTTTTCTCTTTTGTGCAACATTGCTGTAGCCTTGGCAGTTCCTTTTCTTCTGTGATCTGTGAATGTATGTGGGAGAGAATGCCTGAACTGTTCCTGTTCAGATGAAACATAACTTTCTCCTTGAATCTGCCAACAACAAGCTTTAGCATAGCTAAGTATTTTTTTCTTAAATCTTTTGATGTATACAATTATACATTAGCCTAGGAAAAATTTATCCTTGAATAGTGGAAAGGAGCTGTCATCAGCAAGCATTTTCATGACACTGTTCTATTTGCTTTCATATGATTTGATGTAAAGTCAGGTGTTATGAGAAATGACTTTGCCCTCAGTGCACTACTTGTTCAACTACCTAGCATGGCGGTATCCATCAATTTTATGAGGTGCTGCCGTCTATGTCACCAATGAGGTGGCGATCTGGAGTAATCAAATCAGATTCCTTTGAAAGAAATTTTAGTTTGTAAAAACAATTTGTGAACCTCGTAATTCATTGTATCCTTGTATTATCACAAGTTGTGAAAAATTTTCTAGTCCAATAGGATAAGATATGGATGAATTTTCTGTGGTTATGATCTGTTGCTGTCAATGTTTAGGAGCAACACAAGAACATTAGAATATGCTTCAAATTGTTAGACAATCTGGACATCTGGAACCATGTGAAGTGGAGTATTTTTCTTTTATTTTAACCAATTCCTATTCTTATAATGTTTGCTACTTAGCTGAAAAGGTAGAATGGCTATCATAGTTCATCTCCGTGTCATTTCTCTAGAAGCTAAACCTATGTTATTTTTCTTGCATCAATTCAATGCTTTATTGTATCATACTAATATAATCTGGAATCAAGGCTACCAAATTAAATGAAGTGGTCATTATTTTGTTGAAAAGAAAGGTAACTATGGTTTGTATTCATGGTTTTGTGGGCTAGATAGAGTGACAGGACCAGTTGTGGAGCCAAGCACCTGGCGTCCCTGGCTCTAGCCCTTGTCCAAGGCCCCCAAAACAATGAAAATCCACTCAAAACACATCAGAGTATCAATTGTTCAAAGGACATGTCCTTGTATTAGCACAGGTTTAGTCCCGGGCCTAGTCTATTTCTGGTTCCGCCCCTGGACAGGGTATAAATCTTTATCCCCATTCACCATCAGTAAGTTGGAAATTGATAATTGAACAATTTGATCCTCTTGCTTAATTATTTACAAGACGTACAGAGACAAGATTAAGGACCGCCAATATACTTTACTCTTTATAATGTGAAGCTGAAATAAAGTGGCATTGTTGCAACTGCTTGCATCACATAGATTATGAAATTGTGTGGGAACACATGCTTGGTATGCCTTGAAGAACATTCTCAAATCTGAACACTGTACTAGAAAAGTAAATATTGAATGCATGTCAGTATAAATGATGGTTTATATGCTATTCTAAAAACCAAATTGCAAAAATCATAAAGCTATGTTATTACTAGTTGAACAGCGTATGGTTGCAAACCGCCCTCAAATTGCTTCCATTTTGCACTTCTCACTTTCCAGAAGACTAGAAGCACTAGTTGAGAAATAGCCTGATTTGTTGAAGCTCCAAACTTCTGTGCTATCCACATGCTTATGAAACGTTGATAGGTTCTGCATCCACCGGTTCCAAGTTGATTAACTGCCATTTATGGTCATAAATCCTCTAATTTGTGTCTAGCTAGACATAAGCTGCCGGTTGAAGGAGTCCCAGCCATTAGAAGTTACCAAATGGCTGTCCTTTATAGACATAAGCTGCCAGACATACTCATACCGACCTACTCTTGGTACAAATTTGTCTTCTCTCAATCCAAGACATTGAACGACATTCTGGGTATAGATTTATATTCTGGTTTTGCAGAATTTAGATGTATCAAGTTTTGAATTTTGAGCCATATGTTAAAAATTAAGAAGTACAGATTTATTTTGAGCTTTGATATGAAAGGTTGAATGTGAATTTATAGATATAAATTTTATTTCAAAAAAATTAAGTCGAATTTATTGTTCTGAATTCAGATTGATGTTTAACACTTAAACTAAAATTTAAAATTTATAGTTACAAGATTGTTTTCAGTGTCAAATCGATTAAAATTTTACATACATTACATGTTCTATGATAATTATAACTGAAATATTCTTGTTTGAAAATTGGAGTCCATCATTCAAGAATGTTTAGATTGATCCATTTTGCAGTTTTTTATATTTGTAGAACTTGCCTATGATGTTTACTTTTACAGATACTTGGAAGTAAAAAAAATCTTAATTTTACCCTCATAAATTACACTCCTATTTGAATTATTTTTGGAATTTATGCATTTATAGTTGTGTGTTACTATTTTTCTCGAATACGCAGGAGATCTGCGTATCATTGCATTATAGAGAGAAAAAGGATCGGCCCCTTACAAACACCACCACCACCTCACTCCTGGCTGGGATAGATTTGTATTTTCTGTTTTGATTGTTTGTGATCCAATAGGAGCTTTAGTATAGAAACTTGGAGACTTGGAGATGATTCCATTTAGGAGGCAAATGTGGCGCCTTTTCAGGAACTCCCTCTTGACAAGGCTATGTGCTGGTTCAAATGGGGTTCATAACCATAGATAGATGCATTTTTCTTCTTTTTTATATATAAAATAGTGCAAAGCCCACTTAAAAAAATGTAGATGCCTTATCAAATATTTTGTGACTAATTCAATCTTCCATGCTCTATTTAAGAGACATAGGCCTCTTTGTGTTGCCAATTCTTTTGAACTTCAAGTTTACTGAGTGATAAAAAATAGCATTTTCTGTGTGCACCCCTTAGCATATTTAAGGTGCTATCTTTCTTTGGTTTGCCCAAAGACTTCAGATGCAAAACAATTTGATTTTTGCAGGCCTGTAGCAAGTGGCAATGCACCAATTCTATGCTAAATCTTCTGTTTGGGGATGTGTCGGGGGAGGAGGGGAACCTTGTGCTATAGGAGAAAGTAGAAGCAACAACAGTTTATGATGGCTTTCATGCACATAACCTCTGTGTTTTCTTACTTGTTCGTCATTGCAAACAACTGGTTCATTATTGTATATAATGACCCTTTCTCATGCAATATATTGCCGCAGTTTACAAAACTAATTTCTATCTGGATCCCATACTTTTCCCTTACAATATTGTACTTTTGACAACTTCAGCAGTTAGATGGCCCTGCTTGAAATCTTCAATATTTGGAACAGCTCCATGTTTCTTTGGAAATTTATTGCCGAAGGGTGTTCATGTGGCTGTTCCCATGACACTGTTGCTTGGGGTTATTGATGTGCTGTGGATGCCTTCAAAGATGAATATGGTGGAGTTGTGGTTAACCCTAATTCTCTTACCAAATAGGCAAATACATCAAATGCATTTGCTGCATCACTCCAGTCCTTGCTGTCTTACTGGAGTTAACAGCTAATGTGTGCAAACATCAATTAAATAAATGGATATATAAAGATATTGATGGGTTTCATACTTCAACAAAAAAGTGGGGTCTAGTTGAAGATACTGGAAGATCAAGATGATCTAGTTCCTATACCAATAAAGGCAAGTCGCACTGTTATACTTTTGCGAGGAAAAACGCCCCTTTGATTATTGTTCCAGTTATTTTTGTATGAAAATGCTACCTTCAATCTCATTTCTTTCCCTGGGTGGTTATATGTTCATTGTTGATTCAGCATTTTAAAATCTCTTGATTTTGTAACTTATGTTAGACGTATATGCTATCTGCCTTTCAAGCTTATGGAAACAGAATGCTTACAACTTAAGCTTCAGAAATCATATCAGGTGCAACTAACCTTAGATTAATTTGCTTCAGGCGGGGTCATTTATCAACATGCAGAACAAGGTTGTGATGTGAACTTTCTTGCTTCCAAAACGCCCTACTGCTTCGCCTTACATGCATTGCATCAAATGGGCGTTTGAGGATTTATCATGAGTGACAAAAGAGAGGTTAACAATTTCTAGGTTGTACTTGTTTCCTTAGTAATATTACTTTCTGAATAAGATTATAACTCTTTATGCACTTTGTGGTTGTATTACATGCTTTTTCCGATTTAGGTGCTTGTCCTTAAAGGGGCAAAAGGGCAGACCGAGTGCCGGAGGCTCTCACATGAGTGGGGTCTGGGGAAGGGATAAACCGAGACAAGCCTTTCCCCCGCAAAATCTGCGGAGAGGAAGGAAAGGAAATGCCGTTACACTGTTCAGGCATTTGGAAGATTCCTACTGGTTTTGTCAATAAGGATCCAATCATCAACACACAAATAAAAGAACTGGCTGATAAGGCAACAACCATCATAGGTTATACTCCCTCCATTCTAAACTGTAAGTCGTTTCGGCTTTTTTAGTTATATAGCTTATGCTATGCACCTAGATATATGCTATGTCTAATACAATTTGGAATAGAAGATGTACTTGCTTAGTTTCTAAAATGCTGCTTTTTGTTAATATATTTTAGTTGTTTTTTT